CCCCCCCCCCCCCCCCCACACCATGTTGTGAGTGTCTGGTAGCATTTACAGAAGCATGACTTCTGTACATGCAGCAGATTTCAAAAAAAAAAATATATATATACATACGTGTGTGTCAATACACACATATCATCAGTATCCTATCCTTTTGATCTTCCCTCGTATTAACATGTAAATACAAGATGTTTTATTCTTCGAAACAATTAAAATGAATTTCCAATTGATACAATAAATATATCTATAAAAAAATTAGGCCATGTTTGATAGGGCATTATTTTCCATGAAAAATGGAAAACAAATTCTAACTTCCACTTTTGCTTTGTTTGATACACTTTATTTTCCACGGAAAAAATTTTCCACATTTGGCTCACATGCTCACTAACTCCTTGGTTTTGTGGAAAACCAAATCCCACCATTCATTTTTTTTTTTTTAAAGCAATTGGAAAATTTTTTAGGTACGATGTTAAAAAAAAATTATCACTTTTATTGACAATTTTCATACAAAACAAAGACAAACGAATGGTATTCGATATGGTAATTTTTTTAAAAAAAAAATTTAAAAATTTTTTTTGGCAAGTGAAACAAATTTTAGACTCAATGGTAAAGGAAATTATTACTTTAATGGACAATTTTCATGAAAAAAAGCCAAACAGACACCAAACTTTCAACATTTTTCAGGTGAAAAATTATACCAATCAAATACAATTAATTACAATTTTCAGTAAAACAATTTCTAAATAATTCAATTCCCTAAAATTCATCTTCTTTCCACCCATTTTCCATATTTTCAATCAAACGGACCCTTAGGGTCTGTTTGATCCCCATTTTTTTTATAGAATACATATTGAAATAGTAGATTAATAGAGAATATGTGCTTAAAAATGAAGGAAAAGTTTTGGGATGACGTGTAATATTATTTATTGAGGATTGTGTAGTTGAAAAGAAGATAGAAAAATGTATTTAAAAATAAAATAAAAAGATCAAACAATGGCTTAGTAATTATTAATTACTAAAAATCAATTTTTAGGCATAAAAAAGGTGATTTTTCAAATGGAAAGAGTAATTGTAAAGACACGAGTCTCTATACTCAAGTTGTTAGCTTACGTCTTGTCCATTTGGGGTGAGCTTATGTCCACTTACCTTCTCACGACTTTCTATCACATCTCTAGGATTCGAATCCAAGATCTCGGTCTAATAAGAGACTATCTTGGGTTCGAATCCTGAAGGACGCGATAGAAATTCGTAATGGGGATAAGTGAGCATAGACCCATCCAAATCGAACAGTACGTAAGTTAATGGGCTGGGTATAGAAATTCAGGTCGATACAGTTATTATCTATCAATTCCAAAAATCGTATTGAAGGTTACGTTCTGTTTTATTCTATATTTTAATAAATTGGTAGGATTGTAGCCTAACTCATCACGTAAGTGGCTTAATATATAAATGTTGAATAACTATTAAATAGCTAGACTTGTGGACATCTTGATTAGGTGCCCAATCATCATTTTGTATAGATTATGAAACTAGAAGTAGAAAAGCCTACAAGAAGCCGTCCTTGACTGACTAAGCTGCATTGCACGTTATTCCAAAATACTTTATAAATATAGTGAATATAATATTTGACCATTTATTTACTATTTTGATCTAAATATAAGAGAAATGAGAGTCTCTGAAAAGATATGTTAATTATTATATATGACTGTAAATAGTGAAATGCATACTTGAATATAAGTATTATAATTATAATTAAATGCATAAATGAAGATGAATGGCAAATACGATACATGAATTAATGTGAATGTTAATTAATCTAGAATTAACACCAAAAAATATATACCTCACAATCAATATTAAATCATTTATATTAAATGAATATAATTTAATTTCCAATTAAGTGAAAAGGATACTAATTAGCATACATGGACGTGAATAATAAACTGCATCATTGAATTTGAAATTTTAGTTAATATTAAGCCTCTGTGTTGTCTCCCATTATTTTAAGAAGAAAATGCATTTTTGACCCTTTTTTCAAAAAATGTGAGTTCCACTAGAGATGACAATTCAAA